ACCTAACCTAGATGCTGACCTGAACTAGTCAGAAAATAATAGAGAATTGGCAATCGTTTGTGGCCTGAGCTAGAAGGTGATCTGAACTATTATCTATTAAAAAATATAATTGGAGAAAACTCTTTTCAGAATAACGTTTGATACACAAACGATAAAGAGATGCGTTTTTAGCCAGGTTATAGAAGGGGGAAATCTATTGGCATTTGCAGTTAGTATACCTGATGGATCGTCCGTAGTAATGCTGCCTTTTCCTGGCCACTGCAACCTATAGTTTCGAAGGATGCAGAACATACACTGGCAGTTATGCTCGACATCCATGGAAGTCCGAGACCTCCATCTACTACGGTTAGGGCGTGGTCAAATTTCTCCGAACGCATCCCTAGCAGGCGACCTTGATGTCTCCTCAAAAACCTAGTGGAAACCTATGCTGTGTTAAATAATGCATTTTTTACTATTTTCACCGTAAATTGAAAACTTCATAATTCACTGGAAGTCGATCGAGACTACTTCAGAATATCCAGATATACTCTATTTTATGTTGATATAAGCTTTATTATAATTATTCATAATTTGCGATAAAATTCTCGATATACACAATTCTCAATTTCTCAACTTCTCAAATTCACAATTTGCGATAAAATTCTCAATTTACACAATTCTCAATTTCTCAAAGTCTCAATTTGCTTTTTTCCGTTCTACATATATAAGTTCGTGTTCACTGTGAAAAAGAGAAAATATGTTTTTTCTTCTCTTTTCTCTCTTCGCGCATGATAAAACACGTTCGTATTTTTCTAGCATGTCATCGGTATAAGAACATTTAGTCGATTTTTATATTTTGTGATTACAGTGAGGAAAGATGTCTTTCAATATACAAAATAGAATAAAAGTGCCTCACTAGTTTGAGGGATCCCGTAAATACAAATCGCGACAGGCATATACTATTCACTATATAAATGATTGAAGGCACACATTTTTTAAAGTAACTAATGTGTCTCAATTTGAAGCACGTTAAATTGTGCATTTCGGCTTTCATTCCGTGTACAACATCGTATATCATTCACCATCCCACCATAGGTCAAAACTACTGCTTCTGCTGGATATCGTGCCCCTAAATCTGCAAAAATTAGCATTTGAAAGAATATGTTATGTCTTATTCTATAGCCCTTTCAATTCTGCATCTTTCTAGACACAAACTATGCTATATCTCTGACTGTAGACGAAAACATAATCATTTTTATATGCCATTATAGGACAAAAATCGAGATACCTGTCAAGTATTTGTCCAATACGTCTGCGAGATATGTGTGAACAAAGTGTCCAAAGACGAATTGACGAATCGCAATCTTTAAGCGTAAAAATGATGTCACAATTCGTATTTTACGCTTATTATTTATTTAAACACTCACAGCCATCCCAGCAAAATTTCTTGTCCTTGATATCAATTCGCATTTTACGAATTGATCTCAGGGACCAGAAATTTTTTATCAGGTTGAAAATACATAGATTCGTCTCTTCGCATCGGTTCCCATACTTCTCACCTGAATTCGCCGTTATTATTACGAATTCGTAAAAAACTGACTAAACTACAAAGAAAAACGTTTAGCTTGTTGTGTAAATACTAACAGCCACCCTCACTGCCCCCCTCCCACTTTTTTAACCTCATAGAAATATTTCTTGTCCTTGATATCAATTCGTATTCTGTGAATTCGTAAAAGTAACGGCGAATTGATGCGAAGAGAGGAATCTACCTATTTTTAACCTCATATAAATGCTTGCTGTCCTTGACATCAATTCGCATTTTACGAATTCGTAAAAATAACAGCGAATTGAGGTGAGAAGTATGCGAATTTACGAATTCTATTTACGAATCCGTAGATGCCAAGACATATCCGACGAATTCGTGAATAGAATTAGTAAATTCGCGTACTTCTCATCTCAATTCGCCGTTATTTTTACGAATTCGTAAATTCGCGTTTTTGCCAATTTACGAATTCTTGGTGATCAAAAAGATCATTTCATGAATTCGTTGATAATAGACCAATTAGATTTACGAATTCGTGGGTACCCGAACTTTCTTGCCTACGAATTGGCAAGAGGAACAAAAGAAAACCTTTTCGGTTATTTTTTCATCATTTTTGTCAGTTCACACTGAATTACGAATTCGCTGCGAATTCCCAAAACAACAGTAAAATGCGAATTATCGTATCATTTTTACACTCAAATATTGCGATTCGTCAATTCGTCTTTAGACACTTTGTCCACACTAATGGTCTGTGAACGCAAACTTTTGAAATAATGCGCGCTAGCTCATTTTGTAGCCAGTGAAATTCTAAAATATATGAAGTAATGAGTGGCGCAAAATAAAATGGCCACTTTTGTTCTTCGTTCTCGAGGCACCTCGCAGCAGTCCAAAGAGTTGGTTCCAGACTCAATCGATAGGGAATTGAATTCTCTACAAAACCTGCTATTTGAATCTATTTTTTGTTGCATTTTTCTTGTTGGAACACCATTCAAAATATTGAAGAATGCTCAGTTGTCAAACTGCGACCCACTGAAAATAGAAAAACATTTACCTTGATCCAAAAAGAGATTCCATAAGAATTTTGAAGACATCAGGAGATTCACCGGAAAAATCTGAATCTTCTCACGTACTGTTTGAAATTTTGCAATTAAATTTTTTAGGAAAATTTCTGTGCAAAAGAAATCATAACTCTTAAAAAAGCTAACTTTTGAATCTATTCTTAACAGACTTTATTTTTTTGGTCATAAAAGCAGTAAAACGTTCTGAATCCAACGTTTTAGTCTTATTATTTCACACAGAATTAAATTCTGTGTCTTTTGATATATAAACAAAGTTTCTCAATTGAAACCGTTAATTAAAAAAATCAATTTAATTTGAAAACATTGAAAAGCCAGTTGAGAACTAATTGTGAGTCCAGCTGACGTAGCAAAAACATGGTATGAAGCTGTAAATGAGTGAGATCGATAGAATATAAATTTCTCTATCTTTGTACGTAGAAAAGTTAACTATTGAACTTCAGATAATGGGTTAAAAATTTCAAAAAAGAAGACGACAAAAGCAAGTTTGTAGCGAATTCAGTTCTCTGGCGAATAAGCCTAGAACCAACTCTCTGGACTACTGCGAAGTGCCTCGAAAACGAAGAACAAAAGTGGCCATTTTATGCCTAAGAGATGGAATTTCTTTTGAACTATTCAATTCTCCATTTAAAGACAAATCCAAATTTTTAGACATTAGTAAGGGAAGGCGTCAAAAGTAAGTCTACGGGTAGATATAAATCAATATCATTCTGTTTTCTTTTCCTTTCTCTAGTTTTGCCAAATAAATGGAATCGGATACATTTCTATGTACCTTACAAAAAATGTTCATTTTTAATTATTGATTGCACAATCTAACACAATTCAAGGCTGAACTGTATTCTGTCTTTGTATAAATATAAGTTACACATACACATGAATCTATATATCCGTTTTCAAATCAAATAATCTATTTCATCGCATTATGAAGATTTTTTTCTTTTCAACGAAAGAAAAAGGATACCCTAGAAACGACAGGTATCAGTTTCTGCTGGAAAAAGGCCCAATATGATTTTGACTGAAAATTATCGCAATTGCTTCCTGCTTTACTGCCAGATACTTCTGACTTTTAAAAATTGTTTTTGATCCCGTTGACAAAATTTTCCATATCATTTTTAGAGGCC